TGATCTAGAGATTGAAACAGGTTGACTCCTCGGCCTGCCCCTCTGTACTACATGAACTGGTAGTGTCGCGTCATACAAAGAAGGAAAAAGTGGAGTCTCCGGAGGAGTTATTAACCTTTAATCAATGGCATTGCATGTTAGTTAGGCAAAAAGATACAGAGCCTCCGTTTGGCAAAAATTGTGTATCTTTATAAATTGTCAAACTTCATTTTCAACCACACATTTCAATGGACTCACGAGTACTACCCACTTATTGACCATTATTTCTATCTATTTATACATTGAACCGTTTATAAATTCTTCCCATATGGAGGCTAAATAAGAACTTAGGCCAGTTATATAGAATATGGAAACAAACTTCTCTATATGTTTCCCTCATAAAGGGAAATTATATTTTCTTGGTTTCATTTTGAGTTTAACAATGGCAAGCTCCCACCTTCTGTTATTAGCATTATTTTTCTCCAACTATTAGCCAAACAAATTGCATTAACTGAACATACATGGAAACGTAACAATTTCTTCGGGATCTTTCAGAAAGGGAGATAGATCTGTATTAAATAATTATCTCCAAAAGAAATGGAAAAAAGCTAAACTCGTGAGAAGAGAAAAACAACTAACCAGTCATAATCATTTTTATCTCCTGCATTGAGCAGGTCACTACCCTCTCCCCGAGCAGGAATGGTGATTCCACCCTTGTTATCCGAAAAGTGTCTCAATTTTGTCACTGCCAGATGCCATAAATAACAAGAACAGTTGTCAGTCAATCAAAACAAAGAAATCTCAATATACATAGTATACTTCATTAAATGCCAAATCAAATGGAGATTATATAGTGTGTGAAAACTTACAGAAAGCATCTTCAAAGTCATCATTTGATTGAAGCAAGAAATTCTCTTTTTCTTTATTCTGCACCTCATTGAACAGAGCAAGATCATCAACCTTCTCCCGGTAGGGAATCGCGTTCCCAAGGCTACGTCCTCTCTTATGATTCTCAGCCCTCAGCTCCCTCCTCGGAGAAATTCTCATGGCTGGGGATGGAGGCATCTCTGTATCCACAATTCAATTCCCCTAATAAACTTTCAATCAAATTCCTCCTAAAATCCAGGCAGCGTATGGTGAGAACTAAATGAAACTTTTTTGTGAAAAGATAACTCGACCCGTCCCTCTACCATTTGAAAAATCAAAGCCCACCTCAAATTCGCACCTCATCATTGGAGAAGTCACGCTGACACCATCATGAACCCGCAAATCATTTCGATTGCACTTCCAAAGCTGCAAATGATACACCTTAAAAGCATAAAATTACTCAATTTCCAAACTTCAATTGAAACCCCAGTTCCACTTCAAAATGTGTAGCGACAACTCCTTAATTCACACAATCCTATAAACAAAAAACCCATAATCATATACACAAAATTCAGCATCTCCAATAAAACCAGCAGAATTACTCAACAGTATCGTCACTTACGCAATTAACCGAAAATATTCGCTTACCGCCGACCAAATAAAACTCTTCTGCAGTAACCACTACTGCACAGCTCATTATTTCACAACTAAACCCTCAAATTCTCAAAACAGGAGAACCTTGAACTGAATTATTCGTACAGTGCTGTAGCTATAGACTTGGACTTGGATCTGCAGTGCATTGAGTAGATCCGGGCAATAAAAGATCCGAAAGAAAAACCCGGAAAATAATTAAGAAAAAGCTGAATCACTCACGTGAGAGGTTGATTGTGCAGAGAGAAAGCAAATTATGCAACGGCAACTGATTTTTTTTTGTTAATTTTACTTAAAATCGAAAATGATAATCATGAACTTGTGATTTTTCTTTTTAACTTCAAATCCTTTTATATTATCAGTTTGTTCGTTTTATATTTTCCTTTTGGATTAAGAAACAGAAATACAAAATATATTAAATTAATCTCAGTTTAATGGAGTAGTAAGCCCCAATTATTATTCTTGATTTGGCATATGCATGGCTTTGCATATTGACCTTTATGTACTTTTACATTGACTAATTGTGATTTAATCTTCATGGATTTCAGCAATTTGACCTATGTGTTTTTTGGATTATTGCAATGCTATGAAAAGAGACCTAAAAGCTAATATTGTTCAAACTATAAAGTTTTAATTTGTTATATGTGAGATTAATTGAGAAGTCAGTCAGTCTATTTACACAAATATACAAGCGTCAGATCAACTCGAGGCATGAAGCGAGAGTTTGATTAATTAGAATTTACTAATCGAATTTACTGATTTTGTTCAAACTATATATGCGAGATTAATCGAGAAGTAAGTTTGTCTATTTACACAATTATACAAGCGTCAAATCAACTCGAGGCATGAAGCGAGAGTTTGATTGATTAGAATTTACTAATCGAATTTTAAATTATTTCTATTTGTTTGATTATAGGAATTATTAAACGATTTTAGAATAAGCGTAAAGAAAAAAGGGTCAGAAGATATGGAAGAAGAACCTTAACATAAAGCGAAAGCAATGGTGCAAAAGTATGACAAAAGTTGTATTATCTTCGAAGACAAACCAACACTTGGCATAATAGAGAAATGTACTAAGAATGCTTCGTGGACAAATTTTGTACATAGAAAGAGCTTGGATTGAGAAAACGAGAGGTTTTCGGACGATCAGTTCATATCATACTATGATAAAATTGAATTAATTTAACCTGGCGATATTTGAGAGTCGCTTAACTCTCGTTTGATAAAGTTTTTTGACGTTATAAGTTGATCAAACTTTATTTTAAATCATGTATTTTATCGAACTCACAATTTTTATTCATTTTTTTACACGTTAAAATGGGATATGATTATACCATTTGTACACCCATTTTTGTCATTCTTGTTGACACCTTCGTTGTTATCAAACAATTATTGGCTGGAAAAATTGTTCCGTGTTTAAGTTATTTAATAACAGAATGTCACGTGACATTATATCAACTAAGATGTAAAAGGAGATGTACACCAAATGATATATTTTTTAAAATAACGTGGCATATTTTGCTGGAGTTTAGATTTCCTGACCCATTTTTTTTATTTAATTTACTGTTCACTCAATTAATTATTAATGCGCCGTTTTAAGTTAACATATCATTAATTTGATGGGTATTTAATTTGACAATTTTCTTTGAGAATTAGTTGTCACCAAAACCAATAGGAATCATTATCAAGATGGTATTTAATTTTTAAGTTACTTATTTTGACAATTAAAATTTTCAAATTTAGAGCATGTTTGGCTAAACTTAAAATTCAATTAAAATTGAAAATATAGTAGTTATTGAGTGTCACTCGTCCAATAAAAATCAACAATAACAACAAATTTTTTAATTTTAATCCGATTTTAATCTCAGCCGAACCCTTTAAGTTACTTTTCTTTAACAAAATCTAATTTTCTTGAGGATAACCAATGTCATATCGTATCATAACTAAATCTGTGGACCACCAATAATTTCACATACGCATAATTATCGACATTCATTATGTCATAATAATAACAATTCGTACATTTATCTTTATATCGTTTGTCATATTCCTAGGGTACAAACCCACATTTTTTCTTTCAAAATGTACTAACGGTTTCTGCCAAATCTTTAATGTAAGCTACGCCCAACCTTCTCTTTTTAAGTTTGAGACTTTTTTATTTTTGCAAAAAATAAATGAAAAATCCATATTCTAAAAAACGTGAAAACGAGCTGCTTGGGTGCGCCTAGGCGCGACGCGCGATTAAAACGCGTCGAATTCGAGAAATGCGAGAAAATGCGTTTTCCAACTAAAATTGCGCGCCTATGCGCCTAGGCACGACTAATGCGTGCCTAGGCCTGCCTGGCACGCATTAGGCGGCCTAATCCCCTTTTTTTTTTAAATCTGTTTTTTTTCTATATTAAAAAATATATTTTTTTTATATAAAAATATATTTTTCTTTTTTTTTTAAATCTGTTTTTTTTTATATATTAAAAAATTTTTTTTTTTTATATAAAAATATATTTAATGCCTTAAAAATACGAAACGCATTATGACGCTTATTCTTCGCATCGACACGCCTAAACTTGTGATTCTTGATTCTCGACCTCGACGATTCGCAACGCATTACGCATTTTAGAACGCTGTGAAAAATACAGAAATTGGGCCAGAAGATAACGACTAGAAATAAAATATGATCAACGCGGTTTTGTCCACTAATGGCAGCAATTTTAAACCTGTCATTTTAATTGGTAGGTGATTAATTAAAGTCTAATCATAATTAGATGAGCCAGTAGTCTTTCTCCTTCAAGGATGTGGATTAGCAAATTTAATCATTGCCTATAATATTAATGTTACCTATTCATTAAGCATTAACCAACCATTTTAGAAAATTAAAATGCGGTTTGCGTACAATCCAACATCAAGTATGACATGCTTAAATAAATCAGTGTCAATGACAATAACAAAAGAAAATATCAAAGATCGAGAGAAAGAAAAGAATATCGATAAGGAATTAATTTCATTTGTGACTAAAGTCAAGTATGAGACTTCGTATACTCTAGTTGAGTGGGCGAATTTTGAATGCAAAGTGCTCGTTGGTTCGAACGAGTAGACTCGTGAACTATTTTGTTGGAGAACTCATCGGCTCATGTGTGAGTCGAATCGTCAAATCAAGAGAAATTTGCAATTCGGTAAAAAAAAAAAAAAAAAAAATTATGAGTTACGTCTCGTCATGTCTCGTCTCATTTCGTCTTGCCTAGCTAAGAGGCGAGCCAAGCTATACTTCGATGGAGCGAGCCAAGCGAGTCGCTTGACTTATTTCGGCCCCGTTCGGTAGGGATTAAAATCCAATTAAAATTGAAAATATGGCCGTTATTGGGTCCCACTCGTCTAATAAAAGTCAACAATAACAACTATTTTTTCAATTTTAATTTGATTTTAATCCCTACCGAACGGGCCCTTCATTTCACACCCCTAAACGAGGTGTAGTAGATGATCAAGGAAAATTTCCACAATGGGCAAAAGCTTGACAGAGCAATGCCGTATTTTCATTTCACACCCCTAAATGAGGTGTAGTAGATGACCAAGGAAATTTTCCGCAATGGGCGAAAGCTTGACAGAGCAATGCCGCGTGGAGGTAGAAGGCCCATGAATCGTGAACATCTTTTCCACCCTTTTCTTTCAGCTCTGGACCCAATTATAGTGTTATTTTTGTCAAATTTTCAATAACACAAACGATCTCTTGAAGCTCATTAATATTCAATTTTGGGCCTGTACGAACCCCTTAGCCTGAAAGGCCCCTGAACTACTCACTATCCACGCATCTTCACAGTCGAGAAACAACGGCGGCGAGTGGTGGTGCAGCGGCGGTGATTCCATGTGGTCGGTTTTAAGGTCTCGAGCTCTCTCCGCTGTTCATCAATGGAAAAGTTTAAGTTCCTCAAATTTCACTCGATCTTTCTGTTCCTCCGATGTTAATAACATCGAAAGAAATCGAGAGATGTTAAGCTTGAATGAGGTTGAGAAAATCCTGACCGACGTGAGAGCAGACGACGTTAAAGTAATTCCAGTCCCCAAACACGTTGATTTCGCCGAATACGTGGTTATTGCCACTGGTCGGTCTGCCTGGCACGTGCGTAATATTGCCCAAGCCCTAATTCACAAGGCAGGTCTGTCTATCCCCTTATTGGTGTATGTATGTCTGTGGTGAAGTTTATATAATAATGAATGTATTATGTATTTAGCATTCCAATGTTTTACAAATATTACCGAATTGGATTAAAGATTAAATTTTCATAACTGATTTAAATGTTAAAAGTGATTCGATGTTGAATTCTAATGAGAAATTGGACGAATAGCTAAACTTTTAGTTATACACAGGTTTCAAGTGAAGAGAGCTCTCTCTCTCTCTCAAGCACCGATATAGTGAGAAATGGTCTTATATTTCATAAAAAGGTCTAAATTTGATTATATTTAATGTATCGCAGTGNGGAAAATTTTTGCAATGGGCGAAAGCCGGACAGAGCAATGCCGCGTGGAGGTAGAAGGCCCACGAATCGTGAACATCTTTTCCCAGGACAAAAAAGAAAGAAAGAAAGAGAAGAACAAAAAAAAAAAAGACGCGTGTGGTCGCATTCAAAAGAATCAAAACCCTTTTCTTTCAGTTCTGTACCCAATTATAGTGTTATTTTTGTCAAATTTTCAATAACACAAACGATCTCTTGAAGCTCATTAATATTCAATTTTGGGCCTGTACGAACCCCTTAGCCTGAAAGGCCCCTGAACTACTCACTATCCACGCATCTTCACAGTCGAGAAACAACGGCGGCGAGTGGTGGTGCAGCGGCGGTGATTACATGTGGTCGGTTTTAAGGTCTCGAGCTCTCTCCGCTGTTCATCAATGGAAAAGTTTAAATTCCTCAAATTTCACTCGATCTTTCTGTTCCTCCGATGTTAATAACATCGAAAGAAATCGAGAGATGTTAAGCTTGAATGAGGTTGAGAAAATCCTGACCGACGTGAGAGCAGACGACGTTAAAGTAATTCCAGTCCCCAAACACGTTGATTTCGCCGAATACGTGGTTATTGCCACTGGTCGGTCTGCCTGGCACGTGCGTAATATTGCCCAAGCCCTAATTCACAAGGCAGGTCTGTCTATCCCCTTATTGGTGTATGTATGTCTGTGGTGAAGTTTATATAATAATGAATGTATTATGTATTTAGCATTCCAATGTTTTACAAATATTACCGAATTGGATTAAAGATTAAATTTTCATAACTGATTTAAATGTTAAAAGTGATTCGATGTTGAATTCTAATGAGAAATTGCACGACTAGCTAAACTTTTAGTTATACACAGGTTTCAAGTGAAGAGAGCTCTCTCTCTCTCTCAAGCACCGATATAGTGAGAAATGGTCTTATATTTCATAAAAAGGTCTAAATTTGATTATATTTAATGTATCGCAGTGGCTAAAGACTTGAAGTAGTTTCATGGAAAATTCCACAAAAATATGAAATATTGGCAACATACCCGATTTCATGATTTCATATATGAACTCGCCCAGAAAAAGTTTGCACAAACATTCATTTAATAAGAGTTTTTCATAAAGGTTATTATTGAGAAACACTGTACACTATTTAACAGGATTATCTTCTTTTTGCTACGCTAAAAGAATGCCATTTCTATCATGAAACATTATTTTATGGTGGGTGTTCTTTTAGTTATTTTATTCTATGCACATGCAATTTTAGTAATTTATGACTATGTAAGATAGACCAACATTAAGGGATTGTTAGTAAGGAGAGCAACAAATGCTAAGGTTTTGGCCTCTGAACCAAAATGGTAATGGTCTCCGATTTTGAACATGGGAAAGTTACTTGTTAGACAGTGAAATGTTCTAAGAAGTAGTAAAAGGTTTTTTCTCCAGGTACGGGAACGTTCTAGTGTGTATATATGCAGATCACATACATCGATGGGCTCATACATTGCTCTCATGATTGTATTCAATGAGATATTTGGTGAATTATACAGTTATTTACACTAATTATAGCCTTTTTTCTGTAATTATCTAGATCATATTCGGAAGTTGTAAATGTTGAGTTCTGATGAATTGTGACTTTAGCATATTGATTGATTTTGGCTGTGAAATATAAGGGTTGGTTCTTGACTTTATATTGATTGGCACTGAACAGGTTAAGCAAAAGCAGAGAGGAGCGAAGAGAATGTTGTTACCAAGTGTGGAAGGGCAAGAGGGGGGGAAGTGGATTGTCGTCGACTCTGGTATCCAGTTTTATCCTTTTCCTTTTTTCTCTTTTCTCAATTTAATCATATTGGTTTTTTTGACCTTTTCTAATTCTGCTTCTGCGTCATTAGTTCATTGATGTCAGTTTATCACACTGCTCTTGCTATGGACCCATGAGTATTGATGTTTATTGACCAAAACCTTCATGAGCATCTCATTGCTCAGTAATTAAACTTTTATTGAAAATAATAATACAGATAAAAGTAAGGTATTGAAGATTGATGGAAGAGGAAACTTGGATTTGTAGATTGCGTTATCGAAGCAACTCATTGACGTTTATAGCCTAAGTTTTGGTTCCAGGCACATTAAATCATCCTCTGCTTTTGGAGTCGTTTCTAGCATGTTTCAATATCGTTAACAAATGAGAGTAACTTGAAAATTTATGAATTAGCATGTTTGCAACAATGTGTTATTAGTCGACAACTTGTTCTTATAGGTGCATTAGTCATTCATGCTCTCGATGAGAAAGTGAGAGCTTATTACAACTTGGAGAACCTTTGGTCGACTGGAACATCCGACGAGGAACACGCCCAGGTGAACCCCTTTGCTACTTTTATATGTTGCATGGTATTCCAGAATCCAAACGTTGACATAATGATGTGTGAAAAGTAATTCAATAATTAGAGCATGTTTGGTAAGCTAAAAATGTTCACTTATACAAGTTTTAAAATAAAAATAGTTTTATTGGTCAAAGTTGGATATATGTAAGTTAAATGTTTTGGCAGCAAGGTAAGAGTTTCATAATAAGTGACTTTTTTACTTACAAATACATAAATAGTAACATATCTCCACATGTTCGGCTTCTACAAACATGCTGTTGCTGTTGCTGTTGCTGTTGCTCTTGCTCTTGAGTGCTCAAACCCATAAAATACTATTTGTAATATGTGCAGGATTTGGACAAGGCTTTTATCAAGGTTCGTCGGAAAAATAACTCAAAGAAACCTGCACAAGCAAAAGCTTAGTTTGGTCTTGCGTATGCAGAATCATCGTCCTCTGTTCCAGAAAATGGCCTCAAGCTGTGAGGGCAGTTTCTGATCTTTGAAATGGTCTCGTCCTTTGTTTTTCCTGAGTATCCTTAGATATTTTGAACATTTCGTTAGTTTGTTAAGTGCTGATTTGTATGTATTTGGTTCAAGACTATCAACTAGCCTATATTTTCTTTCGTTTTGGTGGATATACCTTGCATGGACATCTAATTCGCTGTCTATTTGTGTCTTTGGGATGACGTAACCACGCGTTTGAATTCTTAATGTATCATCTTGTTTCACGGAGTTGCTGTCTCTTGCCAATTTAGGATGACCATTTGACATACACGCCATTTATGTTATCCCATTTGATCCAGCTTTATGTTGTTTGTATTGATAAAACGTTAGAAATTGAAATTTTGTGCACAAATTGCAGAAATAATCATGTAAATATGGAGGGGGAAATTGAAATAGAGCGAGAATGGACATGATGTCAAGGGACACATTTTCTTAGTAAAATCTTTTTACTAATAGTCTCTTAATGGTTTACAAGGATGATGAAGAAAGCAAGAAAATTTGAGATATAGTTCACAATTGTTGGCCCCTAGTCGGTTAAGATAAAAATCAGATTTTTAGTAGATTTTAATAAAAATTGATAGAATGAATGGTGAAAAAGTTGTTCCATGAAATGTAGTTAAAGTTAAATGTTAACTTTGACTTAAATTTTAGTAAAATAATTTAGGTGAACCAAACAGGGGCTTGATGTGTTTTGAATTGCTCGTTTAAATGCCACACTGCGTTAAAATAACATTTTAATTGTTATGTCGTGTTAAAACAATATTTCTATAGAGCTATAAATCTTTGAAATTCTATTAGGGAAGGCACTTCATCAAAATATGGGTAATTATATAATGAGTAATGCTACTTGCAGTCGTCATATGTGGTACACACATGGCATGTAGTTATTTGATGCATTAATGTGGTAGTTTTTTACCACATTTAATGCATCAAATACACACTTGACATGTGTATGCCATATAGGGCAACTGCTGCAGTGAGCAACTGCAAGTAGCATTATTCTTAATTAAATCTTATATTTTGAAAATGCAGTGGAATGGTTTTTGCACTAGAAAAAGTGCAACTATAAGAACACGTGAATGATAATATAATATGAACAATGAATGTCGCCATTGTAATGTACAAAATACAACTTAAATCATTCAACATTACGTGTTGGGTTGGCACGTGTTACTTGATGAATATCAGATTTTTTTTTTATCATGCTTGAAAATTTAAAATAGTAATGATAAACATTCGTCACAATTAATATATCGGACTTTAACAACATACAAGAGGCACATACGGATAAATTCTACCAAACAACTACAAACCGGTGAGACTGATAGTTAAAATGTCTTTTCCGATACTTAGTAAATATCGATTTCGACATTTTAACTGTCGGACTTCACAGTCGAGCTCGACAGTTGAACTGTCGGTCTACACGATTAGCACCTGATGAGTTAGTATTTTATGGAGGATATTACTATCTTTATTCAAAATAATGTGCAAAACTAATATAAGTTAATGAATTATAATTTTCAAATTAATATGAGCATGTTATCTTTAAAAAATTCAAAATAGTAAGTTACGAAANATCAAATACATACTTGACATGTGTATGCCACATAGGACGACCGCTGCAGTGAGCGACTGCAAGTAGCATTATTCTTATATAATACATATTGGACAATGTAAAAGTAATTTCAATGTTTACTTATTCACTAGTAAATATGATGGTTTAGTTAAAATTTACGATGACGATTTAGTTTAAATTTTACAGACTTTAAACGCTTTCACAAGTTAACTCATTCCATCAATTTTGTCCGAGTTTTTGCCAACTCACCAAGACCATATCCTTTCCCTCGTAAATACACAAGTCACGTCGAAGAAAGACGTACTTCGAGTGACTTAATTAAAACAACTTAACGAATTATGTGACCATCTATGTTTATAAATAAATGTTTGGTAACTAAAGTAAGACTTCTTTGAAAAGTTCGGTGACCAAATAGAAGTCTCCACCTAAAAATCACTTCGTACGTATCGCCTACACTCACAGTGAGCCTCCGGAAGTTCCCAAGCATTTTTTGTCGATTCAAAGCAGTTCAATCTATAAGAACCATTATTCATCTTCCCGTGGCGACCCTCATTTCCTCACGTTTTCTTCAATTTTCGTTACGTTCGAGGTTCAATATGGCTTCCTCCGTCGCCGGATCGGTCGCTGTTGCCTTCAATTCCGCCGAATTTTTGGACAAGTCCTACCGGAAAATGGCTCATCTCCGGCAGCTATCCTATTCGTTTCAGCTCCCACGTTCCCTTAACTTGCAATGCAAACCACTTACCTCTTTCTCTTCCTCAGGTATTTGAGGGTTTCAAACTTCCTTAATTGTACCAGATGTATAAAAAGTGTTATTTGCTCATATTTTAAAGTGTTTTTTTGGCCTATAATTGGAAAATAGAAAATTTCTTCTGTGTAGATTGGGGTTTATTCCAATTAATTAGCTAGTAACTAAAATCCAATGCTGGTGGAATATAAAAATACATGAAGTCTTGATATGCTTCATGTTACATCTGTAAAGACTAGTTTATTTTAGTAAAGGTTTAGTTACGAAGTACATTTTTCAGTGCTTTAAATTAGCTAGTAAATACATGTATTATTGTCATCATTAACCTCGAGGGATTGCTCAATTGGTTAGGCCTTGGGTTTGCTCTCAATGGTCACCAGTTCGAGTCCCCTCAAGGTTATTGAGGTGAGTATCCGATCGTAAATTCCAGAGCCCCATGGGTATAGCCGAGGTGCGCGCAAGTTCGTCCGGACATCCACGATTATAAAAAAAAAAAAGTATATTGTCATCATTATGTATTATATAGCATGCACAATTGATTATTGTCGACGAATAATACTTCATTTCGTTACATTTAAGCTTTTCAACAGTATTCGGGATTTAAAAATTCTTATGTATTCAAATTCTCACGCTTTGTTCAGTGTTTATCTGCTTTTTTGATGTTTGCCTGTGATAACAAACCATTTTAATGCAACAAGAGATTCACTATTTTTTTTTTTCCTAAGTACTTAAATCTGATCGAAAGCATCTCATGCTTCTTCAAAATGGTGAAAATCCTTGAAGAAAAAATATCATTAAGATACCAATAACACTCTAGATTGTATCCTAAATGTGTTATAATAATGAGTTCCATCTCTGTTATCCATGAAATTCTTCCTGCCATTTAAATTATATATTAATGCATCTAAAAGTAACTCCTACATAAGATATATTTCTAACCCTGAACTCTTTTGTTTTCCTTCATACTATACCTGTATGATACTCTCTTATATTCTTATTCTGTGCTTATAAAATTCCGCAAATTTTCCTTTTTAAACTAATATGCCTTGAAATAATACTAGAAATTACTTTCAAGTCATAGATTTAACCAACTTTCATTTGTTTAATATGACACAATTTGATTTTATTGTGGCTCGTCTGCCTCTCGTTATTGCTGCTATTTTTAGTTTATTGGTACGTGCAGGCGTTTGTCGCGTCCAACGGTGGTAACTTGAAGCAAGTACCGATGCACCGCAAAAGGCAGAGGCTCCTGTTGTTATTGTCACAGGAGCTTCCCGAGGAATTGGTAAAGCAATTGCTTTGGCTATGGGGAAGGCTGGTTGTAAGGTAATTTCTGAATCTTATTAGCAATCAAGGCTTCCACTTAGGTTATACACTGTAAGGTATATATTTCGCAATTGTGTACATAACGATTCTTATTGTTTGACTTGAACGGTACCTTTTTCTCATATACCAGTGCAGTTCCTAAAGATAAGATGAATACTGTCACTTTTAATCTATGTTCTTACGTTACCTTTTTCTCATACAGCAATGCAGTTCTTAAAGATAAGATGAATACTGTCACTTTGAATCTATGGTCTTATGTTATATAACTATTTTATAGCGACTTAAAGGGTGACCTTGTAAAAGCTTTTTGGGGTTTTGTCCATTATTGCTGTCACTGAAGACTCCTTTGACATTTTGTATTTCCCTTTAGTTTAATAATAGTGAACTTATATAATCACCATTTATACCACTATGAAATGAAAAATTGTTGCTCCGGGCTTGAAGTTAGTCATAGGCGCATACCATTTGTTCTTCTATTCAATCTTTATTAGCATGCTGTACATTTATAGTGAAGCGGTATCCACTTCACCTTTCCTTTCACAAAAGTTGATTTTGATTTTATTGCAGGTTCTGGTGAATTATGCAAGGTCATCAAAGGAGGCAGAAGATGTCTGCAAAGAGGTAATGCAACTGATACGAATTAAACAATTAAACTATGGGTATTATATTATTATATTTATTTAGACGTACATTTCCTGCATTGCTTGCAACAATTATTGTCAAATTCTGTAGTCACTCGCAGATAAATATGTCTGACATGACACAAATTTGTGATTTGAACTATATGTGAAGCTCCTACACCTGATACAACATGACACAGCATATGTGATTTGACTATTTTGGAAACATAGGTGACACTACAATACCCGATACAATTCCTAAACACTTTTCTACTACTGCAATTTACTAATTAAGTAACAAGATAGGTATTCTCTTTTATCTTTTTTAGTCAAGTTTAGCTACTATGACAAAAGATGTGTCCCCTTACATGTCTGAAGTCAAGTTTGACCAAATCTTCAGGGTAATTTTACTGGAGGTCACTAAACTTTTATCCTACCAACAATTAGGTCACTAAACTTCAATTGCCAGCAATCGGGTCACTGAACTTCATTTTCACAGCAATTAAGTCCCATTTGCTGACCTGGCAGTTAAAACTAACAGCTGCTGATGTGGCAATCCGCAAACTGTTCCAATACCCATTCACATCCAAGTCAGCACTAATGGTAAAAACCAAGACCCAGTTGAAACCCTAAATCAGTGTTTTTTTACAAGAAAAGGAGAAAAGCACCAATTCAATTCATTCAATTAATTCCAACCCAAATCCCTAAATCTTCATCAGATTCAATTTTTTGCTGGGTTTTGTAGATCTTGAATAAACCATGGCAAAGGCTGGTGCTGCCTTTGCTGAGGTTTATGAGAAAAGTCTCCACAAGTAGAAGACAAACTGATTAAAGGATCAAATCAGAAAGGTGTTGCTTATCCAAGAAAATCCATATTAATGCAGCCCCTTCTTCTTCTTCTTCTTCTTCGTTGTGCCAGTAGAGCAGGGTTATATTTACATTGATTTTATGTATCTTCTATGTGTGTGTGTGTGTGTGTTATGTGTTTAGCTTTCTAGGTTCATTTATGATCTTGAACTGATTTTCCCCTTTAATGTGTAAAAGAATATGGCTTTAAGGTTTCAATAAGGTATTGGATTTTTAATTTGGTGTTGACGTGGATGTGAATAGGCATTAGGGTAGTCCATGTGGAAGGCCACATCAACAGCCTTTAGTTTTTTATTCCATATCAACAAACTTTTATTACATTGTTTGGCGTCATACAAATGAAGTAACTTAATTGCTATTAAAATCTAAGTTCAGTGACTCACCCGATTTGCGCCTACTACTATGAAAGATGTGTCCTCGTACCATGTTGAAGTCAAGTTTGACCAAATCCTCGTGTCTGACATTTAGATCGCACTTGTATTCAATGCCCCTGCTCAATCTAAGCCACGTGTATTATCTTTTGGGAAAAATAAAAGCTGAATGGTGAAATGAACAAAAGAAAGAAAAAAAAATGGTCATGCATCAATGACCTTGTCGGCGTTTAACAATATGTTTGTACCAATAAACAGCTTTCTTTGTATTATTAAAAAAATAAATAGTGATTGGCAATTGTCTACTATACTATGTCTCGCAGATTGAGGTATTTGGTGGACAGGCTATTACCTTTGGTGGAGATGTTTCAAAAGAGGCAGATGTGGACTCAATGATTAAAACTGTTAGCAATCGCTATTCCTTGATTTTTAGTTTTATATCACACGTCGTGTCATTGTATTAATTGTATGTTATTGGGACATTTGCAGGCAGTTGATGCATGGGGAACTGTTGATGTTTTGATTAACAATGCTGGTACCAAAAGTTTAACCTTGTATGGTGGCATGTCTAGTTTTCAAGTCCATTGTCTTTTAAATATTTGCAACTATTTTAGGTATTACAAGGGATGGTTTATTGATGAGAATGAAGACATCTCAGTGGCAGGAGGTTATTGATCTAAATCTTACTGGGGTGTTCTTGTGCACACAGGCAAGTTTTTAAAAATCTTATCAATATGAGGATATAGATAATTAAATTCACTCATTTTTTTATCTAAGATCTATATTCTCTGCAGGCAGCTGCCAAACTTATGATGAAGAAGAGAAAGGTACTCCTGTCTTGTGTTCTGTCATTTCTAACGCTAGTTAGAGCATGTTGAAGCTTAAACAGTTTACTAAATAAGTTCTCGGATACATAATTCTCTTTATTGATCAAAATTGGAAGTAAGCACATTACTGATTTTGACAGTTATGTAAGAGTTACTTTCAAAATACTCAATGTTTCTTACTTAAAAGTAAGAAAAAAGTACCTTATCCAAACATATTGAAAGCATAAAGTGACTTTAAAATAACTTTTGATTATTTTTTCAGCTTAGACAAGCATGGCCTTAGAGCACGTTTGGCAAACAAAGCTGCTAGCTTCCCAATTTTCCTGGCTTATAATCTGCAGTACCCACAGTTGTGTGGATTTTGGATTATACAAATTTATGGGTCCCCAGCTTATAAGCTAGCAGAATTTTTTGCCAAACATGCTCTTAGTCTGGGACCCTAGGTCACAGGCCAACAGCTCAAGCTTTTACGTCCCTGTTCTCCATTTCTTAATCTTCATCATGGATTTGTATCATTGGTGTTCGGCAATTAATTGTTTGGAATCATGGGCGACTTCGTACCATTTCATGATTAATTTTGTGGTGATGGTGATGGTGATGGTGATGGTGATGGGAGGAATGTGGCTGGCAGCACTGGTGGTTGTGGGAAGAAGATGGTTTCTTTTCTTTTTTTTTTTCTCTTATTTTTATTTATTTTAGAGTAATGGCATAATAGTCATTTTAGTAAAAATATTGACCTTTTAACCGTCGAATAATCGGGGACCATTTACTACGCTACTTGAAAGGTTGGGGAGACCAGCCCTAATATTCCTTTTATTTAAACAATTAACATTTTTTCCATTACAAAGTTGAATTCTTCTACATTCAAGCATCTTGGCTAATTATATATGCAGAATTCTCTGGACCCACGGTTAGAATTTATATGTAGACCTAAAAAACTGGAAAATTTTGTTTTATGTTTTTGTCTCAAGACTAATATAAATAGTCAACTGATTTTGCAGGGAAGGATTATCAATATAGCATCAGTTGTAGGTCTTGTTGGCAATGTCGGACAAGCCAATTACAGTGCGGCAAAAGCTGGTGTTATCGGCTTTACAAAGTCAGTTGCCAAGGAATATTCAAGTAGGAATATAAATGTGAGTTTCAAAAGAAGTTGATTTCATTTAGAGATGCAACTATTTTAGTTTGTGGAAGTTTTAAATTTAATCAAGCCTTCAATTGACAGGTAAATGCTGTTGCTCCGGGGTTCATTGCGTCTGATATGACTGCTAAGCTTGGGGCAGACATTGAGAAAAAGATTTTGGAGACTATTCCATTAGGTGAGTAATTTCTCTATTTGATCATATAGAACTCAACCCACCCATCTGGCATCCCGTTTCATTGTTTGACATCCACGAAACTGCATTTCTTTTAATATCAGAATTGATTGGTCAATTATCTGAATGGATGTTAGTTGTGCATAGACAACTAATTTCCACATCCAAGTTACTTCATGTTACAATATACTTGGCTATTTTATCTGGCTTGTAAAATTCAATATCTTTAACGTGTTAAATTGTGTATCATCATCATGTTGATATTTGACTGTTAAATGAATAGACTGTTACTCTTAAATCAGGAAGGTATGGCCAACCCGAAGAAGTTGCTGGACTCGTGGAATTCTTGGCTCTTAATCCTTCCGCCAGTTACATCACTGGACAGGTTTTTGAAACTTTATAATCTCTCATGTTCCTTTCTGTCATGATGCTCAAAAGAAGCTATAATTTCCCTAACTTCACTTTGTGAAATGGGGTGCTCGGTAGGAGCAGAAATTAGCTTCCTATTGTTGTTGAAATGTTGGAGAAAAAAGAGGAAGGAAAAGACCTAAAACAAGTTTGTTTAATTTCTAGAGGATGATCGGAAGTGCTTTAATTAAAATTTAAGTAATTATAGGTTGTGCGTCGTACAGAATGTGTGGATTGGCGCTGGTTGTGACTCCTGCGAAATGTATAGATAAAAAATATGTTTGACCAACTGAAATTATAATTTAAGCTTTGCCAAACATGCACCTATTTTCCGTCTATCACACCAAATACGAGGGAAATGAGCATTCAGCCCATGAAAGGATGGAAATTGGTATTTTCCTTTCTACCCAACTTTCTATCCTACACTACTTTAACGATCATTCTTGTAAACTTGATTGCACTCGAACTCTCCTCACCCATTCGAACTTGTTCCAAGTGGCTAGGAATTTTTCCTTCCCCTCCTAACTGTTTGTTGTCACATGCAGGTATTTACCATTGATGGTGGTATGGTGATGTAAGAGATTTTCCCAACTAGATGCCTCCAGACGAGGGGAATGCCCAACCAGCTCCGTTTATTTGTAAGCAGTTCTTGACTATGAAATAAAGTAGTCCTAGGCGAGTTTTGAGCTTCGTTAAGTGATGTTTATACAAATTCTATTTTCTGCTGCATTGAATATATTTACAGTCTAGCATCTTGGGCTATGATTTACCAAGCCTGATGGAAACGATAAACCACGTGATAATTTTTCCTCTTCTTCTAGCTCGAGAACAATGTAAGCATAACCTTCACTTAATTGTACTTTTGAGAGTATAATTTAAAAAATATAATTATATTAGTTTAAAGTTTCATCATGCAACACCTAGAAATGAAAATCTGGGAGTACCGAAAAACAAATATTAGTTAATTTAGTTCTACAGTGAGCAACCAGAATTGAATCGGAATCAGCCAGTTTGTGGTACAAAGCACCGAAAATGATTATTTATTTCTTAGAACCAGTATCAAACCACCCGATTCTGGTCTGATCTCATCGGTACCCTTAAATTTTGTCCGGGCACTTACTGAAGAATAAATAATAATCCTCCGAAGCTTTAAAAGAAAAGAAAAATTAATCTAGCATGTGTGTTAATGCCATTTTTTAAGAATACTAGGGTAAAGCATTGGACTAAAAAAAAAAAACAAAGAGAATAATTTGGGGTTTTAGCCCGTTCTAAAAGGCGGGGGACTAAGAAATTAATAGAGTTAGCTTATTCTAATCGTTCAGAGGGTGATCGCCGGGTCATTGAATGAAGTCCTATGTTTCTTTCAGAGGTGTTGACCTGCAACGAGGCAAAGATGACTTAAGTGACATATGAAGAGCTTGTTTGAGAGGGATTAAAATCCGATTAAAATTGAAAATATAATCGTTATTGTTAACTTTTATTAGATGAGTGGGACCCAATAATGGCCATATTTTCAATTCTAATTGGATTTTAAGCCCTCCCGAACAGGGCCGAAATATGGCGACAATAACGATATATCGTATCGTAGAAGACATGACTAGACGTGAGGCATGAAGAATGCTGTCAAAAGGCGCAACTAATGCGAGTCTATGCATCAAAATAATGGATGCTAGTTAAATAAAAGTTATTATTCTTAATAATAAGTAAACGCCTTGGGTTTGACTAGACAGGCCTAAGTTCAACCTACAAGCATATGGGGCGGATGAAACGTCTTGAAATATTACTTACTGGAAAGAAAAACATAGGAAAAGATACGTAAATGAATCGGAGCCTTGGACCAACCACCTAACATGCCTAATGCTTAAGCCGGCCGTCTGGCAAGACTGTGCCCAAGAATCCACCGAAGCACGATTCATCCGTTCCTTGAAAATTCACACGAAACATGGAGAATTTCTTTCCTATATACCAGACAGGAAAATTTTCATGTAAAATTTCATTCTCACTTCACGAGGTAATTTTTTTCACAATGACTCGGAATAAATCAACAAGCTAACCTCCAGCTGCAGTACAAGTGCATCTAGATTTTATTCAACATCAACTAAAACAACTACAACCTCAAGAGGCCAGAAAGGAAAAACATAGGACTTGACGAAAACTGCACTCCTTTAACATCGTTCTGAGCCTCAAGCTTTAACAGAAGCCATGTGGCGGATCAAATCAATAACGCGAGAACTGTAATGAAAAACAACATTGATGTCACTAAAACTATACAAGCAGTTAAAGATCAAGAAAGCACAAGTTTAGATGAATTGATTAAAAGAAAGATGGATTTTTACCTGTAACCCCATTCATTATCGTACCAAGAGACAAGTTTAACGAAGTTCTTGCTCAAAGCAATCCCAGCCTTGGCATCAAAAATGCTCGACCTGAATAAGAGCAATGGATCTCGTAATCAACATATTCTCTTCTCATACATCGTTTCATTGATTCAGATATGAACCTTAAGGTTTGAGATTGACAATTTTTACCTGCTGTCACCTACAAAGTCAGTGGACACCACATCGTCTTCAGTATAACCCAAGATACCCTTAAGCTTGTTCTCTGACTCTTCCCTGAGAAAAAACCGAGCAAATAAATTTCAGGCTGTGTTGTGCTCATCCAACTAGCTGACTTATTGCCAAGTTCATTTGATTGAAAATGGATTAATCCTCGAGCATAGAATAAGAAAAAGGAACTCACTTGATAGCAGCTTTGATTTCATCATAGGTAGCCTCTTTCTCTAGTCTTACAGTGAGGTCCACCACTGAAACATCAACAGTAGGGACTCGGAATGCCATCCCGGTCAACTTCCCATTCAGGGATGGAAGCACTTTACCAACAGCCTACACAACACACAAATTACTCGAGTGAGTTGGATCTGGGGGGAATCATTGAATCAACATTGTTCTTTGAAGTACGAAGTGATTGAGGACAAGAAAGATTCAAGCAAAAAAAAAAAAAATGGTTGTTATTGAGTTAGCAGAAACGTTATAACAAAGTTAGAAATGAAACATAGTGCACCACCATAACTTCACACTTAATTATTGATTTAGTTACCTTGGCAGCTCCAGTGCTGCTAGGTATAATATTGAACGAGGCCGCTCTTCCACCTCTCCAGTCCTTGCTTGACGGACCATCAACTGTCTTCTGAGTGGCTAAGTGATCATAAATTACACAAGTCAGTCGAGAGAGTCGAGACCGAACCTCGCAACTCATATTTCAATTAATACGATGAATAACCCAATGTGCAGCCACTCACCGGTAATGGAGTGGACTGTGGTCATGAGACCCTCCACAATGCCGAACCTATCATGAATAACCTGACAGATATTGAACCAAATATAAGTTTAGCATCAACAAATAAAGCACGAAAACTGCAAAAAACGACATAATGCCAACAAAACCTTGGCCAATGGAGCTAGACAGTTTGTGGTGCAGCTAGCATTGGAGACGATGTTTAGCTCAGGCTTGTATTCCTTTTCATTAACACCCACAACAAACATGGGAGCGTCCTTACTTGGAGCAGAGATGACGACCTTCTTGGCACCACCCTGATTTCAGTAAATCAACACAAATCAGCACAAGGTAATTACGAGAAACATCACGCGCAACAATTCATAATATAAAACTTCATAGTTGACGAGCTTATAAATTTACATTACATCACACAAGTAAAAACCTCAATAAACATTTCAATACAAGTTCACGATCCCGAGTAAACTAATTGTGATCTAATCCAAGTGAGCATTCTCATTAATATATTATCGACCAGTACAGTATATCCATGCTAGAACTTAAAAAATACCAATATTTTGAGAAAATTGCACAAATAATAACCTTTAGATTGAACTAAATAGCACTCATGAAAAATCACGAAGTAAACATAGCATAGTGAACTTTAAATGGATACTACAAACAAAACCAATCATCCTTACGACGTAATAAAACTGATACATAAAGACAATTCAATCTAAAAGAAAAAGAGCAAAGAGAGATGACCTTCAAATGTGCAGCAGCCTTGTCCTTGTCTGTAAAGACTCCGGTAGACTCAACAACATACTCAGCACCAGCTTCAGCCCATGGAATCTCCTCCGGATTTCTAAAAATTTCAACCAAAATATATCATTCAATTTCCATGGGAAAGAGGCAAACTCAACCACTAAAGACACTAATTGCACGTTTTGAAAAAAGAAATACTAACTAAAATTGTATCTGTTGTACTGTCTAGTGTCTAGTCCAATAACATGTACCAAACACATCCTAACTCATCTAAGCAACTCGTTTATTGATTTAAAGTTCGCCTTCGACACGGCATCCACTTGCATGCAAAGATCTATATTTTCTTTAGAGACACAAATGTTACTCAATTTTCACAATTCAATGGGAAAGATTTGAACTCACAACCTCTGTCTGCTATGCTTAATATTATGTTGAACCTTCCCATCTATAATTACTCAACAATCACAAAGTGGGAAAATTGTACCTGAACCCGAAGACTCTGACTTGGTTATCACCAAAAAGAAGGGTCTTTTCATCCTTGACTTTAACCTCATGGTGCTTCCAGTGCCCGTGCACACTATCATACTTGAACATGTATGTCTGCACATTTTGCCCATCAAAAAACCAATTAATCAATCTCATAAATATGCACATATACACACACAAGTTACATGTACATTTGTTCGAAAAAGCCAGTTGAGGCTTACTCTTCGAGTTCTGCCTCATGTGATTATATAATCTTTTAAACATTATCTGTGTGTGAATATGTGGGTTATTATACCATATAATCAGTAGTAATGAATGGATCATTAACAGCAACAAGCTCTATATCATCCCTTTGCAGAGCAACTCTTGCAACCAATCGACCAATTCTTCCAAATCCTGATAAAACATTAACACAAGAAACAAAGAGATCGAATCTTTAATAGATACATGGAAACCCCATTTCAAAAAATTACAGAAAATATATATTAAAAAAACAACATTGTTAAATATTACAATATACAGATAGATTGGTATCCACGAGAGAAATCAACAGAACAAAAAACACCAAAAAGATCCAATCTTAATGACATATTCACAACCCATTTCGTAAAATCACAGAAAAAATGTCAAAAAATACAATTAAAAGCACCGTTGATAATCATAAACAATACACAGACAGACTGACCCATTTTCGTGAAAATCTAAGAAATGAGAGAAATCATACCATTGATTCCGATCTTGATCTTCCCCATTTCTTTAGTTATAGAGACAGAAACTAGAAGATTTGTTTTAGAGAGATTGAGAGTGATGAAAGGCAGTTTGGAGTGGGAAAAAAAGAGAGATTAGAGGGATTATTTAAGGGGACTAAAGACGGTTTATTGGAAAACAATGGGTAGATTTCAGCCATTGGAATGAGTCAATAGATTCGAGATAACCCGGCTTCCATAATGCGCCTACCTACTCGCGTGAGAATTGCTCTGTTGTTCCATTTACATAGACTGACTTTCCTTATTTCATTCTCATTTATAGTCTTGCTTCTTCATGTAGAAAGAATTTGTTTAATTTGTTTACTAATATACTTTTATTTAATTTGTCTGCTTATAACTAATTCCTCCCATTTAATCTTGAAATTTTGCTTTCTTAGAATTAGCCAAATACATGACACACATTACCCACTTCTTGAAAATATGAACAAATTAATAAGGGTAAGTTAGGAAAATTCTTTACAAAAATTGATTTTTCAATAATATTAAATAAAATTTCTTAATTTGTGTGAAAAAAATCAGCATACATAGATGGAATGGAGAGAGTAATATATACTTTTTTGGAATGTGATCCATGAGTTCATGAATTGCTCGATTGCACTTCTCCAACACATGCTAAAAATCAGTTTACATAAATGGAATGGAGAGAGTAATATTTACTTTTTGGAATGTGATCCATGAGTTCATGACTTGCCCGATTGCACTTCTCCAACACATGCTTCTTGCATATGTTTTTCCTACTTTTAATACTTTCCAATGCATTTTTTGGTCTCTTTTTGTGATTTTCCAACTTTATAATTAAGAGGAATTAATTTTTTTACGTATATGTGAAACTGAGATTTCCTTGTTACATGTGATGATAGTAAAGATTTTACATGAAGTTATATCGCCAAATATTGAATCTTTACAAATTTAATCAACTTTTATATAGAATTCATCAGTTAATTTCAACTCAACAGATTGAGACGAATTCTAATTAATGTTGATCTACAAACATATTGCAAAAGGACAATAACTTACTCATCAATCCAAATATTGCATACGTACAAATCTATTAGTCATGTTGTCGAACTTATAAATAGATAGAAGTCAAAATTTGAAGAATAATCTTAATGAACTAAGAACGTTGCCTACACGAACAACTTAACTTACTCGATCATTTTGAAAAAAAAAAATGCAAATGTACTCATAACATCTTCTGATTGTACAAGTCAAATACTATTATTCTAAAATTCATTTATTGTTTTTGAATTCAATATTTACTAGTGGGGATCGTGCGTTGCACGATAACCGTTATAATTTTTGTAATTCGAAAATTGAAAAATGAAAAAAATGACACGATATTGTTTGAAGTAATTAAAATTCCCATTGTATTTAAAAAAATGTTTTCTTTTGGTTCCGTAGAAAATGCCATGTCATTTTCATGATTGGTCTCCTCCAGTAATAGTACGAAAGGAATATGGCATAATTATAGTAAACTGAAGTCCCATATTTAGATTGCGAAGTTAAAATTTTAATAAATGTTCAATGTATAAATAGATAAATCTCACTTGTAGGTGTGTTAAAATTTAATAAACAGAACATCTGACTTTAATTTTACTTAAAAAAATAACATATTTCCTAAGTGCAACTCTATCGAAAAAGAAAAGAAAAAGTGATAGAAAAACGAACAATTTGAACTATGACACAAATATAAATGGTGTACAAGAAGTTAAAAAGAAACAAAGGATGAGGAAGCATAGTTACAAATGGTCGCAAACTATTTTCGTTNTATTTCAGTTTCTTCATATTTTTTGTGTACTAGTGGGGATCGTGCGTTGCACGATAACCGTTATAATCTTTTGTAATTCAAAAATTGAAAAATGAAAAAAATGACACGATATTGTTTGAAGTAATTAAAATTCCTATTGTATTTAAAAAAATGTTTTCTTTTGGTTCCGTAGAAAATGCCATGTCAATTTCATGATTGGTCTCCTCCAGTAATAGTATGAAATGAATATGGCATAAGTATAGTAAACTGAAGTCCCATATTTAGATTGTGAAGTTAAAATTTTAATAAATGTTCAATGTATAAATAGATAAATCTCACTTGTAGGTGTGTTAAAATTTAATAAACAGAACATATGACTTTAATTTTACTTAAAAAAATAACATATTTCATAAGTGCAACTCTATCGAAAAAGAAAAGAAAAAGTGATAGAAAAACGAACAATTTGAACTATGACACAAATATAAATGGTGTACAAGAAGTTAAAAAGAAACAAAGGATGAGGAAGCATAGTTACAAATGGTCGCAAACTATTTTCGTTACAAAAAAAGAATCGCATGCGCTTGGAGACACGGACACGATTGTGTCTCCGTGTAGAATGGAGACAAGACGGCGTCTCCATGTAGTACAGAGACCTTTTTTATTTCCTAGTCAAAACCAACCCGAAGCCACCCACCCAACAAATTCTTATAATTCATCACGAATTTCATTATTCATAGCAGCTGGGAAATCACAATAGTAAATGTAAATCACAAATCAATATGTTAAAATATACTAAAAACTCAAAAGTTGAAATCTAACTGGCACTGCACTACAAAGCTCCTACAACCGTGCTTGCTCTACATGACATTTAAGGTTTCTCCATCTATTCATTTCTTATTTTCAGAAATTGATGAAGCAAAATTTATTTGATTATTTTAAAATTGATTTTAATTGAACGAAAAGGCAAAGATTTATATTAGTAAAATGTGTCGTAAAGCATAATATTGAGTCTAAATCAAACATGTCGAAAAGAGTGAAAACTAACAATTTGAATTGTCCTTTTAGACCTAGATACCAAGGTAAAGAAGGCTACAGAGTAAATGAAAGTTGGAAAAAAATAATCAAAATTCATAGCTATGAATTGTGCACTGGAAAAATTTCCCTGAATCAAACTTAGAACTCTGCAAATTCTCCATTGAACTATAGTTTTCTATTAAATACAAACAGATAAAGATATATGAAATGAAAGGAAAAGATTGGAGGGTTGGAGAGACCTGCTTCCACATGGAGAATTAATATCGTATGACATTAAACTGGAAAGGTGCAAAATACAGAAAATTCAGCCATACATAACTTCATCTTATTAATTTATAAAATATGAAGATAAGACCCCAGTTCATAGACAGAAATCTAGCCCTAAAAACTAAGCTGAAATTCATCACATATACCAATACTTCTATATGGTACCATAAATCAAAATCCATTGAGTCCAAGAAGAAATATTTTCTTCTTCAAAAAGTTGAACGCTAGTTTAATTCACAGACGATTTCTGTCTTCAGCAAAAAATTACAACCAACTTGATTTCTAGTCTGAACTGGTGGAAGGCACATTTACTTTTGGGTTGGATCGACAATGATGCCAGGGGCGTCCCCAACAATTTCTTCAACAGGAGGTTTGCTGGATGCTATCATCTTTTGTTTCTTTAACTGCTCAATGTTTTCTTTTTCAAACACCAAGTTTCTTCTAGCAGGTACATTGGTGTGAGGTGAGACATTCTTCATCCTTGGTTCATATGGAGACATCATTGGAGATGCCTTTGCAGGCCCACAATTGCTATCCAGAATGTATACAACATCGAACCTTGGCTGGTCTGTTTTGGGATCCAATGTTCCATATTTTATATAGATGAAATGGTCTTCAGTTACATTATTCAAATCACGACCATTGATGACATGTTCAGACTGTATGGAAATAAATGAAGATACTATCAATATGTTTAAGTAGGAAATATTAGCAACTGAAATATCATAAGCAATACTTTACCGTTATACAGTCCTTCATCAAAGTGTCAGCTGGTATATGCAGGAATTTTTCAGCCAATTCACCAAATAATGATGTAGAAATAGATCCGGTNTTTTCAGCCAATTCACCAAATAATGATGTAGAAATAGATCCGGTATTATCAACAATCTGAACATTGCATCTTGCTCTGGCAGAGAAATATAGAATAAGTGTCATCGACATTTGAAATATAAAATTAATTAGATTATATACATAATAATTATTGCATTAAATTTGGTATTAGAATAGGAGTTACTACCTTGGAATTGCTTTCGCATGCATGTATTTGCAATAATTGCAAGAATACATTTCATTGAACTCAGCAAATGACATCCAGCCACAAGTGTCACAAGCCATATACCAAAGTGACTGAGGTCCTGCCTTGAATTCCAACTGACCTTTTATCCAAAATGGTTTGCGCTGTGGAATGTAAATGAAAATGTGGTAGATAATGGAAGAAACTGTAAAGATAATAAGTAATGGTTTTAGTTTTACTTGTAGATATATAACATACCGTCAATGAGTATTCTGAAATATCTTTGATGTTGATAATTTTGTTATCTGGAGGGGGTAAAATACTGGACATGTTTGGCAAATCATAAGTCTTTTGCATGATCATTTCCGTCAGTATGTCTTTGTTCCTTTGGACCCTTGCATAGCATCAAAATGAAGGAAAAAAAAGGGAGAAATATAAAATGAAATTAGCTTTTGTTAGCAGAAAACATCATATGAAAAATGTATGAAGAGTCAACTCACCATTCTCTAATTTCAGCAAGTTTTTCTAATTTAGGATTAATGAGGATGGAACTGTTTGCCTTAGTAGATAATGACATCCCTGTTAAGAATATAGCAAGGTCATACTGAAGTTAGTTTCTTATAAGAGCAGGGCTTATAAAATGATGATTAAATCGAGACATTTTTTACCTTTGAATGATGTCACTTTCAAATGGTTACCAACAATCATTGGTTTTTTCATAAGGCAGTCACTAATTTCAAGGCCTTCATGGTCGATAAAATTGTCCCATATAGTGAGAATAATTGCTTGTAATCTGCACATACAGATATCAGATTTCATGTTAATGAACATAATAGATAAACTATTGTAAGGGATATGCGAAGATTTATATGAATCTATACACAACTTTCGTTGACAAGGACAATGTCCTGGACAGCTGCATCTACATTCTTGTTGCTTGGAATCCTTCGTTTTGGCCTAACATCAACAGCAATACCAACATATGCTGCACAGGGAATTCGAAAAAGGCTGATGCATGAAGAGTAGTTTCGAAATATAATGTATAGCAAAATTCTGGAAAAGGACTAAACTAACAGTAACTATTACCTATTTCGACATCAGCATCTATGCAGTTCTGAAGTTCATCAAATGGTGTAAACTGAAAGCATGACTCTACAAGAGGACTATGGTCTTCATTTGACTCTTCAATTCGAGTTGAACCACTAATTGTCCATTGTGTATGTCCACATGTTGACCTGAAGCGATCATCAGTGTTTTTGACATATGCGTTGGAAATTAAGTAAGTCTTTGATGGCACTAAGGTGTTCTCAAGAGCTTTGATATTCTGAGCAAATATGGTTGCTTGGACTTTGTTTTCCTAAATGATAGGACATTAAAAATTAATAGACAAACTTTTTTTTCCTGACATTAAACATTAATACAGAAATATATAGATGTGCAAAGAGTCTAAAAATATTACTGCAGTATCCATCAACCAAAGGTGCTGATATGTTCCATTTCCTTTCTGTGATATTCTTGAAGTTGTTTTTTCTACAACCACCACTTTACATGTCCATCCTTGTTCTCTTGGAGCTATATCAGGAATCAGTTTCAGTTGGAATGCCATTTCTACTGCAGGAAGACAGCTACATTTGAAAGAAACATCCAACATTGATTATATTAAATAATGTAAAAAAAAAATCAAACTAATGAAAATAGAGGAAGCACCGTTCACCTTATCTTGTAGCCTTCTTGTGATCGCGACTTCTTTTGGTACACATCGGAAAGGAAAAACAATCACTAGCAAATGCATGATACAGTGCAGATTCCATCTTTTGATAAGCTCTTCCAATTTGTTGGATCCCGTATAAATATATGGCAGTTGAAGGATTTCCTTGCTGCAAAATAGTATTCTGCCAAAAAGGCTTTGTCGTGTGCATTTTGGATTGATGCTTGATTCTGGAAAAATGATTTAGAAATTCTAATATATAACTCATGTGATATTGTTTTTTCCCCTAGTATTGCAGTATAAAGTATGATTGATGCCTCAAAAAAAAAATTATTGTGCATATCAAGTGTTCGATTAATTGCTCCTCAATTTTATGAAAGTGACATTGTGTCACTTTTTTTTAGGTTTTTGTCATCTTTTAAATTTTTGTCACTTTTTAAGAAGATAAAAAAAGTGAAATAATATGTTATATTTTCCTAACATAATCAGTGTGCAGATTGACCTAGACGTACTGATTATTTTAAGAACATGTACTGGTGCTGCACAAATGGATTGTGCTATTTTGGTATTTGTCATTTTTTTTGAGTTTGTGTCACTTTTTTGAGTTTGTATCATTTTTTGATAATGTCACTTTTTGGAATTTGTGTCACTTTTTTAAAAAAGTAAAAAGTGACAATTTTAATTAAAAAAAAAAGGTGACATTGTGTCACTTTTTCACTTTACACAGTATTTTTTACTTCTTAAAAAATTTTCATATGATTTTTCAAAACATTCTTAATTTTAAGGGTATTTTTGTAAGTACCCCAAAGTTATTGGTATATTATCATAAATTGATTGGTAAATTCCACCCAACGTCCTAACGTACCATTTGTTGCATCCACGGGATGTTTGATGGGCTGAAGAAGGATCACAAATTTCTTGAATATTGAAAATTGAAGTTTTCATTTGGATTATTTTGAAATAATGAAAATGTTTTGGACAATTATACACTTTCAATCCGACATTACGTTAGTGTTACGTGGCCATTTTTCTGTTAAGACAAGGATGCAACAATTTGAAAAGTTGGGAGTGGAATTTGCCTTGAAATAAACAGCATATTAAGGTCATGTTTGTTTCGGATTAAAATCAATTTTTAATTTAAGTCGAAATCAAATAATCAATATTAATCTCGTCTTCTATGGGTCCCACAATTTTTCGATCACACATTTCAAAAACTTCTATCACAATCTGCTAAAAATCCAATTTTAATCCGCACAAAATACCTACTAAATGCACAAATTTTTAAATAATTAGACCGCTACCTCAAACCCAACTATAAGGTAGCCGTTGCCCTCTGCCTTTCATTTCATCAAAACCGTAAATCCTTCTCTTCATATTCCACCGATATTCCTAACATAAAATCGTTAATCTCTATCGTCAAAATCCCACAAGAATTTATTAAACCCTGATCAAAATCCAGAGTCTTCAAAGCGTATCCATGGCTTCAAGAACTGCCACAAAAGACATAATCACTCTTCGCGGATCGGCTGCCATAGTCAGTGAATTCTTTGGTTTGTGTCTCGCATTCTCAATTTTTTAAAATTTGTTTTGTGGGTTTTCGAGAATGTGGACTAATTTCTGTATTTTTATGGAACCCCTTTCTAGGTTATGCTGCAAACAGGTATAATCCAAGATTCTTTAATTTAGTCTATAGTTGAGAGTTTGATTTTAAATTTGAATTTTTTTTTTCAGTATTCTGTACAATCGTGGAGTTTACCCAGAAGAAAGTTTTGCAAAGGTCAAGAAATATGGGCTTCCAATGCTGCTTACTCAGGACGAAGGTGTCAAATCATTCCTTTCAAACTTAACAGCGCAGCTTTCTGGTAAGTTTTATATTTACGCGTTCTCTGTGATTTTATGATTTTTCTCGTGATTATTTGTGTAACAGTTTGATTGTGTGATTAGTATAGAATCTTTCCTATTTTTTCTTTTAATTCCTTTGAGTATCTCTGTATCGTCTATATTTAGTTCGTATTTGTTTACGTTATATATTTGAATTTGTCAAAGAGTGGCTGGAATCTGGGAAGCTGCAGAGGGTAGTTCTGGTGATCATGAGCAAGGCCACTGGTGAGGTTTTAGAGAGGTGGAATTTCAGTATTGAGACGGATAAAGAGGTTGTCGAAAAAGGGTAATCTAATTTACTTATAATTATTTTCTGAATAAGAAATTTATGGGTTCTGAAGTATGTTATTGGTTTATGTTAATCGTGATTGCATGCTTATAACCGAATTCGAAGTGGTGAAACTTACTCAAATCCCAAAACGAGGTTGAATTACTTGCTTGCTTGCCACACTGCCTTGTACCCGCTTCTTGGTTAGAAATTCAATCGCAAAGGAAAGAATTTGATAGCCACAATCCAAGTACCAATTTAGAGATATAAACCTTGCAAAATCAAGTCACAACTCACATGTTTTTCACTCCACATTTTCCACACAAATATTGCATTCATCATGATGGTTTTTGGTGGAGTGGAAGTTATATGGAGGTTGTGTGAGAGGTTAGGCAATTTCAAACTTAAAAAATTAACTCCTCCCTCCAAACCATTTCATGCAATTAGGGTTGGGTGAACTCACATGGGCGACCCGTTTCAACTAACAGTTTGAATATTTGTTGAATTTGATTTTGTCATACAGAGTCACAAGGGAGAAAAGTGATAAGGAAATTATGAGGGAAATTCAAGCAATTATGAGACAGATAGCATCCAGCATTACATATTTGCCATGCCTCGACGAACCTTGTAAGAATTTTATTAGATTAATGTAACTGGGATTGTTGTCGTTTAACGTTGCTCGAAAATTTATATCAGAGCCGCCTCGATGTTTGAGTTTGGGCTCATGTTCTTGTTTGAAGTGCTCTTGTTCTCGGTGCCCGACCAAACTAACATTAGGGACTCGATATTCATGATGTTAATTTTCGAGCATGTATCATTGTATAATTTTCAGTGCCTGACCACCAACATAAGGGGCTCGACATTGTGATGTTAATTTTTGAAGTATTATCGTTGATTCTTTTTGAATGATCTTGTTCCCTGGCACCGACCATCAACATTAGGGGGTTCAATAGTCGAACAACATCTATCATGTATTATTATTGATTCTTTTTTAGTGCTCTTGTTCTTGGTGCCCGACCGCACCAACATTAGGGGCTCGATATTCGTGATGTCAATTTTCGAGCTTAGATCCACCATATATAATTGACTTGGTTGTTGGGCGTTGCAGGTGTTTTTGATGTGTTAGCCTACACAGACACAGATGTGGCAGTTCCATTTACTTGGATTGAGAGTGACCCTAAACTGATAGCCAACCCTCAGATGGTGAAACTGCATTCTTTTGATACTAAGGTAAAATCTGCAGCCTAATTTTGTGAGCTGTTCTGGGGTTCACTTACAGTACTTGTCAACCTTCGGTTGTCCATCTTTTTCTTCAATTCATGTACTGACTTATAATTTGAACTCTAGATGGGTAAAAAATTTGAGTCACGTGCATACATATTTATAACTTATAAGGCAAAAATCCGAAAATAAACTTGCAATTCTCCATACCTAACCTGCATACATAATTTTGGCAAAAAGCTTATAAAATAAAGATCACGAAAGAAAACCATGCAAGTAGCCGACTTTGATCCTGGTTAACGAATTTCCTCATTTGCTTGTGCAGATACACAAGGTTGATACTTTGGTTTCATACAAGAATGATGAGTGGGACGAGGCATGAAGAAACATTTCTTGACTTTGAGAACCTTTGGTCTATGATTATTTTAGCGCTGAATCATCGATTCACATTTTTTAGTTTGACAGATGGAAAAATCGATCCAGTGAAGTGAATCATTGATTCACATTGTATTTTCGTGTTGTACGTGGAATTGAAGACAATCGGATGATGTTTGCTCTCTGGTATGTAGAACAGGGATGTTTTTTTTTTTTTGGGATAAACAAGTGTTTCGGTTTGATAATACAGTAGAGAAGAATCCAAGTAGTTTAAGAGAAACATGCATCTTTTGAGTGAAAACTCTTTTGTTCTATAAAATTTGTTGAGAAGGAAAAATGAAAACTAGCTACAGGTTCGATTGTTTGAAACATTCATCGAGTAACCGTAGTTTGCTTTTTATACAGAATGTGGAGTTTACCCGCTTAAAATCTTCACAAATAATGCAATTTTAAGGGGAAATTTAAAATATGACAGACAGTAGTAGCAAGTAAAAGATTCTAAGATTGCAACGAATACCATGAAAAATGTCACGTCCGAGGAAAACAAATTTTACTTTAGTCGTTTGATTGCAACGTGGAAATGGAAATCGAATTATAAAGTACAATCAGTTTAAGTTGCATATTCTTTGTTTTCATGGAAAACGAATTTTTATGGGTTTGGTGGATTTTTATTTTCCACTTAACATGAAATTGGAATTTATTTTCACCTTTACCTATCAAACGGACCCTAAGAAGTGCGCAAGTGGAAAAGTGTTGTGGGATGTGAAAGATGATTATCAACTATAGAGTAGCACATATGGAAGCATGAGAAGACATAAATCACAGCCAATCTTTCTATTTTGTTGAATTGACACATGAAGGTCAAAAAAATTAGTATCAAACACTTGTTGATTTGGCAGAATATCGAGAATTTGAACACGTAATTGAAAATATAATTGAGAACGATCAAAATTTCATTTCACGAAATCTCATCTTTTAATGAACACAGATTGTTTATACAATGAAAAAAAATTCATATTCCATAAGAAAAATACAAAATCTTTATAATAGAAAGTTTGAATTCGTCTTGAAGTGAATTGGACAGCAAGGACCGGCTTCATCTGTGGACCAGATGTTAAGAACAAGGAAAAAAATGAAGCACGGGAAATTGAACCCGACGTGAATCGAACACGCAACCTTCTGATCTGGAGTCAGACGCGCTACCATTGCGCCACGGATCCACTTATTGATTTATGTATACAAAAGATTTAAAATACTAAGCCCCTGTTTAATAACAATTAAAACAAAACTCCCTTTTTTTTTCCTTTCTACTTCTCCTCATTTTCTCAAACTCATTTTCAACCACATATTCCCTAAAAAAAAAAATTCATACTCTTTAGCCGCACATTCTCAAAAAAATCCTTATTTCAAACTCCAAAAATTAAAAAAATGCGCTCACACTCATGATGATAAAAGAAAAAAAAAATTCACGATTAACTCGTACAGGGGAAAAAAAAAGAAAAAGAAAAAACACAAACTCGATGCATGTTTGGAGCCTAAAACAAATATTAATCTAGCCTCTTTGAATGTTAATTTATAAATTAATTCAAAGTCAAATATTAATTTAAACTCTAATTTAGGACTGTTATTATTTTTTATTTTTTTTGGAAAATTACTTTCTAAGTTTTTCTTTTTTGAAGGCTTTTCAATTTCTTTTTTAAAATTCCTCCAAATTGCTCACTCTCCTATCGTCTATCGAGTCCCTGCCCATCGTCTGTGCCGTCTCCCTCTCTCGGCAACCCTCTTCAAAACCCCTAAATCAACTTACTGAAAAGTAATTTTTTTCATTTATACTGGTTCTTAACGCCACCCATCTGGCCTCAATTGTATTCCAGTGGTTAAAATCATCTGGGCACGTTCATTTTCACCAGCTCAAAATCTTTAATTTACTCTCAGGTAACCCTTTTAATTATCTTCTTGGATCCCAATTTCTTGTTTTTCGTTTCATTTAATAATTGCATATGTCTTTTCTGGTTGGATTCGCATATTAAATTTTGCTTATGTTCACTTTAATTTATACTAAGTTATACCTTTGTAGTCTTTGGAACACATATGTTCTTTAGATTGATTGCTGTATATGGGGTTTTTTCGTTTGACGTGTTGTCTTTCTTGAGGAAACATGGATTGGTTTTTGTTGAGTTTTTGGTTTGTAAACTCTGTATTGGATGGTATGGGATTGTAGGTCCTTATCTTGTTTATGAATTTAGGAGGAAAAAGATGAAAATTGAACTTGCTTTAGTTTCATATTGAAAATGCCAAGTCTTTCTGACCTCATTGACGTGTTGAATTTTGTTTTGATGATATTTCCATTGCTCATGAATCGATGCATATAAGAATGGCAATTCAGTATTTGTATGGACTGAAAAGCTTTTAGTATAGTGAATAGCTTGCACTCTCTCAGAGACTCAGACTCGTAGTCCTTTGGGAAAATATCTTATTTTCTTCGTATGACTTTTACACTTCAGATAAAGTGAATTAATGTTTCCAACTAGTAACTAAGAATCTTGGGATGCTTTAGCATGCTGTGAACTGTCTAGCTGTTTCATTGGTCAGCTATACCCTGCCATTTCTATAAGATACTCAATTTTTCCTTTCCTCGTGGAAATAATCAATCTGAAATGCCTGCATAAAAGGCGATGTTTAGCTTTTCTCCTGAAACATGGCCTTCATTTCTGTACGGCTATCAAATGCATAATTTTAATTTTTCTTTTCCAAGAATATACCGTTGTTTAACTATCTCATTTTTCTTTTTTTCTTTTTCTTTTTTTCACATGGATAAATCATCTCCTTATTGATTTATGTTTATGAAATATTCTACTGCCTAACCGTCACCCTTCTATTGGTTTTTTTAGGATATCCTGATTAACTACTAGAAATTTATGACAGTGGCTGAGCAATGACCAACACCTGCATTGCTAGATTAAGTGACATTAACAGAGCAGCAGTACCTCTTCCTCAGGGAAGGAAGTTCAGAATCATATTCCTAAGAACATTTTCAACATTTGCCTCACCTTTTCTTTCTCCTTCTGCACCATTCAATTATCCATCCTCGTCTTTAGTCTTGAATGCCCGCCTCACTCCATCAGACGCCCCCCAACGCTCTGATGAATGGTTTGCTCTTCGCAAGGACAAGCTAACGACAAGCACCTTCAGCACTGCTCTGGGGTTCTGGAAAGGCAACCGTCGATACGAACTCTGGCATGAGAAAGTATTTGCATCAAATGTAGTAGAAGCTTCTAAAAATGGTGCCATGGAATGGGGAGTTCTCAATGAAGCAGCTGCAATAGAGAGGTACAAAAGCATAACTGGTCGCGACGTGAGTTCCTTAGGATTTGCAATCCATACTAAGGAGCAATTAGATTGGATTGGTGCTTCCCCAGATGGACTACTCGGATGCTTTCCAGGGGGTGGGATTTTGGAAGTAAAGTGTCCTTTTAACAAAGGAAAGCCTGAGATGGGATTGCCATGGTCAACTATGCCATTTTATTACATGCCTCAGGTGCAGGGTCAAATGGAGATAATGGACAGAGATTGGGTTGATTTGTATTGTTGGACACCAAATGGTAGCACAATATTTCGGGTCTGGAGAGAGCGCAACTACTGGGAATTGATGCAAGTTATTTTACGTGAGTTTTGGTGGGAAAATGTGGTTCCGGCCCGAGAAGCCCTTTTGTTGGGACAGGAGGAACAAGCCAAGTTGTACAAACCAACATCGACTCACAGACAGACAGGACTCATAATTGCTAGAAGCATAAAATTAGCCAGCGAAGCAAAATTGCTGTGCAAGGAGATTGCTGGCCATGTGGAGTTTTACAGATGATACAAATGAAACGAAATGAAAGGTCAAATGATCAACACGTTTTCGAATCTATGACTAATAGGCTTCAATTCATAATGTATTTTTTTCCGTTCTGTATTTTTACAATGTTCTAAAGCCTGATGACATTATGATCGTTTAATATTCAATGAAAATTTCAAATTTCATGATTTTTTTTTTTCCGATTGGTTTTATCTTTCTGGGGAAAGATCCGATTCTTTATTTTGTCAATGAAATTGTAGTGATGCCTATTGTTTAAGTTCTCCTTGTGAGTTGAATACACTTTTACATTAAGGACATGTCAATCTCTCGATTCATTTGGATCGGTACTTTTTGGTTTACAGCGCTATATTTACGAGGTACTTTGTAGATTTTCTCTAAGAATTGTACTTTTGAGCATGTGAAGACCAAGTCAAAGATAATGGATGAAAGAACATACTCGTGTCCCAAAATAACCGCCTGAACAGGTGAACTAAATTCATTGGCTAACTATGGAAAATAGCCATATTTAGCTAAGGTGCCCTTTTGATTAAAACAAATTTATTGGACTCTTCGTGCAGGAATTCTTGTCTGGGCAATGCGAAGGAGCCAAGGAAAGAAAACAAGAAATGGACATATACGGCTCCGAGGGGCTGCCATGGGCTGATCAATGTGACCCGGAACCTCTGCCTCCTGCATCGAAGAATAACAAGAAGAAAGATGGCAAAAGCAAGTCGCAAAAGAAGCTATTGAGCCTGAAATTGATGAAAATCCTCTGCAAGAAATCTCAAAAATAATGAGAATGGAACGGCTTATTACAGTATCCGTGAACCTTTATACTTCTTATATGCTTCCATATTATCGTCTATGAGCGTTTAATGTTTGTTAACAGGCCAACGACGAATTAGCCTTCTTGTATTTTATGTGCTTCCAATATTAACATTGGGCGCTTTTCTTATTCTGTAACAGGGAATGGTGAATTGTATAAACACTTGACCTGCAGATTCAAGTTCTTTTATCTGGGTGTATGACCTAAGCTCGGAGGAAAGAATACATCTCATAGGTTTATCCTTGATTTCAGTGAACATATACTGTAAAATGTTATGTTTCTTTGTATTTATGCATTGGATGACTATTTTTACGTTTCCCATTTTCTATACGTTGTTCCGGGATCGAAGTTAGAAATGTAATGAATCAGACTTGTTGCACGAACATCTATGTGTTTTATGAAAAAGAGGATCGAAATCGGTATCTAAACAATAGCTACATGGATCTAGGATCCAGTTATCATAAAGTATATATTGTAAAGTACTGGACAATATCATAGTACGTGACACTTAAGAATAACCATTAAAAGTTTTGAACCTACTTTCTTCAGTATTCCAATCCCAGTTAGGACATATGAAGCCCTTGTTTGATCCTCATTTTCTAAATCTCTTTTTTCCCTCCAACTTATTTTCAACCACAAATATCATGAAACACCATAGCTTTTATTGATAAAATGATCAAAGTTTATAAAAATATTTTCAACCACAAATATCATGAAACTCATTCAGCAAGAAAATGCTAAAACACCTGCATAATATATCTGTCACTTCACAATAAGATCAGAATATAACTAAACATAGAATGCACCACAAAGAGCAGCCATCTCCTTTTGAAAATATTAGCCATCCCAGAATCTAGAAGCAGGAAAGATGCAGCAAAAAATTTCCAATCCCAACAAAGCTTCCTGATCATATCCATAAATAAGAACATGCCCGGCATGTATCATAAGCTCAGAATAGACATTCAGACTCAAGACTTGTATCTTCCAATCACTGGCACCAAGTAAATCGATGGCCTGCACTTGAAAGGGCGAGTAACAGCCTTCACACTGATAATAACATAATGTTTTGTTGAGAACAAAATATGCATGAAGAGTTCATGATTTGACATTGTCACCCAATATCTAATAGTTCAATGAAAGCATACAACCTATTTTTCTTTTCATTCTTTTTCCTTTTTTGTGTTTTCTTTACGACTTTATTTTTATTTTTGCCTCCTTGCTGTTGAACTGCAAGATCAAATCGCTTTCCAGACTTTCATCTCCTACAGGCATAATTCCGACCTAAATGGATAAGCAACATCCCCTGCACATGAAGACTGGAATTAGAATTTGGCACATATGCAGTGCCATCCTTTGAGGATCAACATTTTTATCCAGTTTATCTCAGTACCTATCTGGCTGTTTAAAACAGTCTGCGCAGATCAATTCCAAACAGAAATTTTCTTCATATTCAGTATTGTTAACACACCGACCACACTGCACACACCTCGATATACAAAGTGTGCATGCCCTGCAGACTTGAGCAGCATTATCTTCAACCTGACAGCTCTTGGCTGTACAGTCATAAAGCAGCCTCAGTTTTTCACATCTTGGGCACATTTCAATATCAATCGCACGATCATCATCGCACAGAAGATAAAAATTATCCCGATTATAGAAGTGCGGTTTGTAATGATTTTGGAGCTTTTTGTTATCAGCACCCAGTAATAACTTCAACTCCTCAAAATGTTCATATGTCACCCCATATAACCCTCCAATTCTCAGGTGCTTTATACCTTGGACACCTTTATCAGAGTTGAACGCCTTGAGATTATTTAGAATACCTTCAATAGTAAGCCTTGTACATCCAGGAACACACAGCTGCAGAAAAAATAATAAGATTAGCTACTCATGTAACGTACAAATAATGTAGAAAATTGGTATCTTGCAAACAGAATTTTCACAAGTAAGAGAAGCGGAAGAGTGTAACCAAAGGCACAACTGGGGCAAAAATTACTTAATGTATCCAACATAGACGGAGGGCTTCAAGAAAACATGAAGGAAATAGTTGGGTGACAAGAACTTCCACCAACTACCAACTCCATTCATAGTAAGATATTCCATCCATGGATATATCATAGCCATAGTTAGATTATTAATCTATTACATTAACAAATGAGAGCAACAAACTACTATAGATTTGGCTTAAATCTTATCATAAATTGAAAAGGTAGGTTGACTGTAGCTTCATTGGAACACTAAATTACGTAATAGAACAACAAACTACTATATATTTGGGTTACATCTCTATCGTAAATTAAGAAGGTAGGTTGATTTTAGTTTCATTGGAACACTAATAGGTATTTGAAACTATTCCCAGGTTTAACTATTTCTATACTCTTGAGAGCTTAAAACACTAGAGTTAACACACAAATATATATAAAAATCCTTGACTAATAATTGTTATCTAGACCATAAAACACCCCTTTCTGCATCACTTCCAGAAAATCTAGCTTACAAGAAAATTTAAATAAATAATTATTGTCCTTCTAAATCCAACAAATTTTAAATCATAATTTTCTTCCATCACAGTTTTGAAATGACATAATTTACACATATAATTGCTGAAGAGCATCCTCTAACACTGAAGGCACTAAATGAGACAAAGACAATCGAGAGTACAGACCACGTGTTATTTAAAAATCATTCAACCAAAAATCTAACCTTTTAGGCTTAAAGGCAAGGACCCCTTCAAGTATTAAGTTTCGAAGAAGGATATGTAAGACTTGATAGGAGATTCCATGGGTCTATGCATGCCGTCCATAGTAACTATAAGGAAGCATAACCTCATTTAATGCTCCCAAATACATATTAACGGGATAACCGTAAGATGGTGAGACACATTCTATGAAAAGCGCTATCTTGTCTGCACTCCCACTAAACTAGTGGCAGTGACATATGCCAGAAGACGAAGTGCATGTTCGACAAAGCTTAAATTATATCAAACATGCTCCAATATCCGCATATACTGTAAGATCCACACATTATAATCACTCCCAAGCATGCCCAAAATAACGATTATAATCCACCACACGTCCATTGACACAATGTCAGTGTAATGAATACGATCTGATCTTGAGCATGATTAAATACTATGAATATGTATTACGAAAAACAATCAATCAATATTATCTTATATGAATTTGCACCCAGTGGAACAGATTTTGCAAGAATTCTCTTCACATTTCATCGATGGTGTGCTACCTACATCGCCATATCAAATGACTTTGGAAAGAAAATAGTGCACCTGCCATCTATGTAACACGTGAAAATATGCTATACATTTAGACTTCATAAATTAGTTAGCCAGAAAGTTTTCCATCCCTCCACACATAGTCTATGTTGATAACTGCCCATCTAAATGCTTTAAATGTTAAAAAGAGGATACATTTACCAATATGTTGTCTTCAACACGCCCTTCCACGTATAGGCTGGATTCATTCAATGTATGACAAGTGACAATTTTTCATATAGGGTGATGTTGAGTTTTGAACTCAATTCCTATGTTATCCATGTCATCCGAACCCAATTAAGACGTTATCCATGTCATCTAAAAGCTTAGGCAGTTAGACACGTTTATTTGCTTAAGTTTTGTTTTCAACATGCATAATAAAAATCTATTTCTTCAATTCTATTTGCTATCCTACTCTTCAACATCCAAGCAGATGGTCACAACTCACAACAGACATACAACCCCATAAAATGGCTAGAAATCATAAATGCTCATAAATCGTAAGCATTGGTGTTGCTAAAAACACATTTTGAACATATCAACAGATTTAAATACCAGAAACTGGGAAGCGTGATGAACAACGCATCCTGTGTCATTCTTCTATTAGAACTATATCACATCATCAATAGTTTGATCGCATATAAACAAGTTATGAATTACTCTTGAAACAGAAAACTAATATAGACAATGGTGGAGCCACAAACCTTAGTCAACCGTGGATTAGTTTCAAGCACACGCCTCAAACCATCATCTGTGATCCTCGCACACTCCACCAAGCTCAGGCACTGGAGATTACCTTGAGCTCTGGTAGCCAATTGCAGTAGCACATCATCGGTGATCCTCTCATTCAGTGGCTGATCAATGTTGAGAGTCCTCCACAACAAGGGATCACCTTGAACTGTTGAACACAAAGACCTGCAAACCCTTTCCACCGACAGAAGGTCCTTGACTCCCAGATAACTAAGAGCGAAGCCCAAAGCTTCATGGGGTACTTCCTCCTTGGCAACACTTTCAGCACCCTCAGCTTTCTCTATAAATTGCAGCCCAGTGCTGCTGCTAGTACTCTCACTGCCAAAGCCTACAATGGCCCCTGTACTACAGGTAGGTTCAAATCCTAAAATATATCGGGTCAATGCACCACCCGTCTCTCTCTCCTCACTACAAGGATTCAAAGCAGTACCCATGTTCAGATTCTCATCTAAATGGGCATTGTCTGGATATGACTGGATACACCTGTTCAGATTCTTATCTCCCTGAAGATTGCTCGGAATAGGTTGAATATCCATATTCAATTTGTCAAACTGAACATTGCCAGATAGAGATTGAAATTTCGTGGCATTTTTCCAAATCAAATTCCACCGTGCAAACCAATCACGGTCATCTTGAATGGATGCATAATCAATATTCCTTACATATCCTCTGTAATTGACATCTAAATCCTCGAGCCATCCTGTGATGGCTGTGAAAGTAGTTTCCATATCCATCCCAAATGGATCGGAAGGCAAGAGGTTGGCTATATCATTTGTAGCTGACTCAGGTGAACTAAGCCGATCAATTCTGTTCCTCCCGTAATTTCGCTCCTCAGTTCCCCCCCGGCTCCCAAGCCTTGTCCTCGCAAAACCGTCCCCATTTACAATCCTCATGGGCGACACCATACTATCCTCACCAATATGTGAAGGAAATATTGACCGACGTGAATAGTTCAAGGCCATCTCAGATTTTTTATCTTCTCTCTTTTCCAAATAAACCTAAATAAAGGAATGAAAAGGGTAATATGCTCAACAGCAAAACCCTAGATTATCTTTTTTTTTCTTTTTCGAACCTTTATCGTGGATTAAATATCTAGACTATTCAGACAAGAAACCCTCGATTTTTAATGACAAACTAAAACAAAGCACCAAAAATTTCACAGAGTTTTTCTTGTACGGAACCCTAAAATATTTTCAGCTGCAAATCAAAGAAGCTTCAAGCTTTATATGCAAAAAAATCAACAAATTTCCAGTGCAATTATTTATAAAACAAAAATTATAGACCAAATCTGAACTCTAGAGAATCAGGAATTTGGAGGGGGAAAAATAAATTTATAAAGGAAAAAGAGAAAATAAACCCTAAGTTTTGCTCCGTGGAGAACACAATCGACAGAGATAGATTCAATCCTCGTGGAAGTGGAATTCGTGTGTTACAAAGAATCTGATTTGAAGAGGAAAAGGGGAGAATAGGGCAGGATAAAAAGGATTTTTCTGTCGATCAAGTGCAAAAGAGCGCAGGGAAAGGGAAAATTAGAGAAAGAGAGAGGAAGCGTGTACGTTTAGTAGGGGAGAGAAAAGGGAGTGACACGTGTGGGGAACGGAAAATAATTTTCCCAGTATTTTGCGATGGAAGGAAAATTCGTGGCCGAGGAGGAAAAGGGAAGTAAAACTTTGACTCCTAGTTTAACTAACATTGTTTTGCGCTTGCCATATGAAAAAGTAACCATTTGTTCAGTCTGAGCCATATTGAAATTTTCATTCTCATTCTTTTATTTATTTTCAATCGTACATTTTTAATAAAATAATATTTTTCATCGTATCAATAATTTTTCCTTCTTTTTCAACCACACATTCTCCATCAATCTACTATTCCAAAATAATGTGGCTCAAGCACAACCCGAAGTCCTGTTTTGTAAATTTTAATTTAAGTAAAAGTTAGTAATTAATTTTAATTACATATTTAATGTGATTCACAATTTTTCAATCGCATTTCACTCTTGTTTGACTCTCTAGGCCTTGTTTGAATCCCACGTTGTTCATCAAAATACATTATTGAATTGATTTGATCATATTCCAATCACATATTTTTCAATAAAATAATATTACACACAAATTCAAAACTTTTCTTATTTTTTAATCACCATTCTGTATCATAAAACTATTGCAAAATGCATTTTTTAGAAAAAAAAAAAAGCGGGGCTAAAACAACCTCTCGTTCTTTCAAAAAGAAATAATTCTATATATTCATTTTCAATCATACGTTCGCATAATAAAATATTATATAGGTAAATCTAAAATTTTTTTCTACTTTTTAACCACATATTCTCAAAAAATTTACTATTCGAAAAAATATTTTTCTAAAAAAATGACTACCAAACATGTATCATTAATTTTTATTAAAATCGGCTAAAATTTAATTTTATTTCCATCAAACATAAGCTAAATTTCTAAGCGTATAAATTAATTTGAAACATATTATATTATCCAACTCAAGTTGGCACGAAGAAATTTAAGGTAAACACGTGTTCACGAGGATCATATAACAATTTAATTAAGATTTAGACGATTATTATTTTTCAGATTTGGTTGTGTAATTATAATTAAGAAATTTAAGGTAATTGTATATTTCTCTTTTTTCAATAAAGAATCCTTCTAATACCACCGGTATTGAAACATTGATTTAGGTGGCGCAAATGTTGCATAATTGTATTAGCCACTAGATGAGATGTTACCGTAAACCCTTGCTTGATAGAGATTAAAATTAAGGGTGTGTTTGGTACTTATTAAAATTTTCATTTTTATTATTCTACTCATTTTCAACCACATATTCTTCATTAAAATAATATTTTCCGTCACATCAATAACTTTTCCTTCTTTTTCAACCACACATTCTCCATCAATCTACTATTTCAAAATACATTCTTCCAAAATAATATCCATCAAACACATCTATTTTAGTAGATTTTGATAAAAGTTGATAAAATATTTGGTTGAAAAATTGTGTATCCATAAAAATACATGGTTAAATTTGACTGTTGACTTCGATATTAATAAAAGTCTAGATTAAAAGCTTGTTTGGTAAGAATTAAAATTCAATTAAAATTGAAAATATAACCGTTATTGGGTCACACTCGTCTAATAAAAGTCAACAATAACGACTAATTTTTCAACGATTTTAATCTCAACCGAACACGCCCTAAAATTTGTACAAACATGACTAACATACTGGAATCTTCAAATAAAACAACAAATGACTATAAATGAAACCCCGTTTTATTGGTGAGTCGATATTCTTGAAAATATGAAAGAATAAAATACGAATCGATAAACCAATCATTGTTATATTTGCTTGCTCATTTTTAAATGTTCTTGCTTGCAATGTATTATGGCAGCGATATTCAACACGTCTAAACACGTGATATCGAATTTCACTTTTCTTCAATTTAAGTGATAAGTAAACAATCGAGTTTTAAAGGTTTTGAGTTCCGTTCAATTGTGTTATAACGAAATGACAAACATATACACCTAAACATATCTTCGAACTTTCTCCAATAGAAATACTGCCCATGAAACAATTACAACTTTACATATGCATTATCCCATCAATTGTTGGCGTGTTTGGAAGATTTATAAATCACATGTACAGAACGTGTGGTTAAAAAGTTGTGAATCAATTAAAATACGTGGTTGGAAATAAAAGGAAAAATTGCAGCCAAGTACCAAACTTTTCATTTAGTAGCAGACTTTGTCCAAACTTTTCATTTGTATCACACACAGTACCAAACCTTTTAAAATGTCGCAACTGAAGTCCAAATAGAAGAAAACTGTTAGTTTAATCGTTAGTTGATCAAATAATTAATATTGACCATAACTTACTAATTCTAAAAGGATAAAATGGTAACTTTACATTTTTTTGGTTTAACAAAAAACACAATTATATCTATGAATAATTAATTCAAAAAAACATAAATACTAGTCATCTTCTTCTTCGCTATACCGTCCCACCCCCAAAAACCATCATCACTACTAGCGACTGACGCTACAACGCCCACCCAAATTCTTCGGCATGTTCTTTCTCTTCCACGAAATTATTGTCCATCGATAAAAGTCCGAGCTTGACAATCGGCGAAGCCATAACTCCGGCCAAAAGCTGAGAAAAAAAATTAAATTTGCTCGAAAAAGATGCTAGGAACCACCTGCAACACCGTCTTCATATCTAGGAACCTGAATCTACCACAAATTATAGCTTAGGTCTCTACCTCCTTCCCAAATCCGCCTTCATCTCTTTCACCTGTTGCAGACTCTAGGCAACATCCAAAAATGATGCTTCAGTTGCCTTAATCAATTACCCATTTATAGACTCAAGACCAGACCCAAAAACTTTATCACAATAAACAATTCCAAATTGAGTTACAGTGAACTCACATGCACCAAAATCATTTGTTGTGGCAGAATGTGGACGTCAAATAAACTGCAGAATACGAGAAGATAACCCAATGCCCAGTGCTTCTTTTCTGCTCAATTCATCTACTTGTCCAAATTTACAGTGAGATTTCTATCTTGGGTTAGGGATTTTGATAGAAAATGATTCGATTGTGTGCAAGTTTAGAGTGTGTATTCCGTTAATGGATGGTTCTTGGTGTGTGGGTGGAAGGAGCGATGATGCCGATGTGGGGTGGGTGGCGGTCGTGTCGGGCGCTGCCACTGGTGGTTTTGGGGTAAGGGGGTAGCGGAAGAAGAGGAAGGTGGTGGATTGTGTTTGATTTCTGGCTTTTTTTATTAATTATTAATATATCATAATCTTGATTTTTATTGAAAAAAATGTAAAGTTAATATTTTTTTATTTAATTAGTCGAGACTATGGTCAATGTTAAATTTTTTGTCAACTAACAGTCAAACTAACACTTTCCTTCCATTTGGACTTCAACTGCGACATTTTAAAAAGTTTGGTATCGTGGGAGGCACAAATAAAAAGTTTGGACAAAATTTGCCATCAAATGAAATGTTTGATAACGTGACTGTAATTTTCCAAAAATAAAATTTGATCAATTAATAAATCATTTATAAATTGATCCAAAAATACGCCGCGTCACTTTTAATTTTTTCTTAGCAGTATGACCTACCCTTGAGGTGGCTATTTACAATTCTTAATGCGTTCAACTGCAATACTGGTAGACCAAATTTAATTGAAATTTTCTCTAGTTGCGGTTGCATTTGTTTAACGTCATTGGGTACGTGTGATTTTTTTGCTTACAAGTGATTAAGCATGTTTTAAAATAAATAGTTTTTTAGTTGATCAAATAAATTTAAGTGCTCGGTGGAAAAAGTTTTTAGACGGTAAAGATTGAAGTCAACATTTAGCCATTATTCGAGGGAGATTAAAATTAGATTTTTTAGTAATTTTGATAAAAATTGATGAAACGTGTTGCTGAATGCTGACATACAAAAAGTGTAACCCCAATTGGAAAGTCTAGGATAAAAGCCCAAATAAGTCAATTGATGAATACAGTGGAGGCTTACGAACAAAGGAACATTAT